AAAATTGGCACTCATGCAAGGTCTTGTTTGTATCCCATAAGCTAGTTTTCTTAGTATAATGTCTAAAGCTGATTATATCTCAAGCTATGTAAAACTTTTGCTGTGGAAAGTTGCATTTATTAGCCAATATTCTAGACTGGCCAAAGTTTGTTTAGTTTTTATCAGATATCTCTGATTATGTTATAACTGACTACATTTTCAGCAAAATCTTTGTCCAACACATACAGATTTTGTTTTTCTCCAAATATGGTGCACTTAAATTGATTTTTTAAGGTCAAGTCATAAGTGAATCTTAGGCTTTAAGCTAGCTTTTTGTGGTGTTCTATCAACAACAACATGAGGTATTCTTAGCATAAAGAGCATTAATGATTGGTCTTATCAAGGAAGTTCATAAGGTATGACTACAGGCCACACAAAATGTGTGGTCCCTTCCCCTATTCCAATAAAATATTAAGTTATTTTTGAAATAAGGTCTTACTCCAATAAGTTAAATCATAAATGGAGTTAGTTAATTAATCTTTCTCCTTCCCCTTAGATTGGTTATGCTTTTCCATGAATAGAACCCGTAATATATTGACATCTTGTCAATCTGCCATGCAGATGGTCTTGCCGTTGATCTTGGAATAGCTAGTTTTTCAGAGTGAAGCTGAAAATTAGATCCAAGAATATAACCCAAATGTGAGAAATTTTGATACGAAAATCATGTGTAAAAATAAAAAAAGGGTGGGTTGGTTGTGGTCTTGTGTTGTTTTGTTCCAAACAAACAATTTATTGCTAACAGCCAATTGAACATCAGTGTAGCAACGAAAAATTGTCAGTTGTATCACTGAATATTGGGTCTTATTTTAAGCTCTAGCTAGCAACATGTTAAGCAATGAAGGAATTGAAAGACATTGATTAATGGAAAAGATAGGACTGATAAGTTAGTATTGCCTCTATTTCCGATAAAGATGACTATGCCATCATCAAAACTGGTACTTAAGTAGGATAAATAGCAAATGAAATCAGAAGGCTCTTCTTTTATTAATTGAAGACTTAATTCATTGGCTTGATCAGAAGAAAGGTACTTGATCCAAATGATTAAATCGTTGACTCAATCCCTAAGCTCATTATTGTAATCGACTTGTGGTTTGCTCTTCTCCAATTGTATGCTGATGTCACTTATGTTTCTGGCCTTGTTATAATTGTGGATAGTATCTCTTGCTTCCTCTCTTAGCCATTAAGTGTTTCCAATGGGTTGCTCTTTGTGATCCCTTTGAAGTTTTTTTTTAGGACCATCTCTTTTGCTTTTCTTCACTTCTGTATTGATCCTCTATATGTTGGAGGCCTTGGAAAGCTTGTTGTCTGGTACTTTTGATTGGCGAAAGTATCTATAAAAATGGAGGAACTAAGCTGAATATTTTGTGACATTTTGTGAGATTTTGTTCTGCTGTTTCTATTAGGAAGCATGATAAAATTATTTTTGTGCATTTAGAAAAATGCAATTTAAGCATGTTAGGGCATTGATAAGATAAATAATGGATGGATCAATTTCCTTTACTGATTATGTTTACTGTTTTTTTTTTTTCTCCTTTACTGAAATTTACTGTTCTTATTTTTTAATTTATCATTCTACTCTTGTTAAGTGTAGTGCTAGTAATAATGTTGCTGATAACTTGTTTAGTACATGCCTCATGCCTGATTGGGTCTTGATGATACAGAAATCAGATCTTTCTGTTGGTCTATTTTGTTACTTATAGTTGCTGGAATTCTGCAGGGTCAAGATCACCGCGAGCAAAACCTCTTCATTGGACATCTTGTTTGAAGATAGCTGAGGACGTAGCTCAAGGCCTTGCTTACATCCACCAAGCATCCAAGCTCATCCATGGCAATATCAAGGCCTCTAATGTCCTTCTAGGCACAGACTTTGAGGCCTGCCTGACAGATTACTGTCTTGCTTCACTATCAGCATCTTCTGATGATGAAGATCCTGATTCTGCAAGATACAGGGGTCCTGAGGCCCGGAATTCAGCCAGGAAGGCAACTCCTAAGACAGACGTTTATGCTTTTGGTGTTTTTGTGCTTGAGCTTCTTTCAGGAAAACCCCCCTCTCACCATCCATATCTTGCACCCCATGATATGCTCGATTGGGTGAAGTCAATGAGGGGCGATGATGACTGCTTTGTAGACAACCACCTTGCAATGCTCGTTGAGGTGGCCAGTTTATGCAGTTTGACATCTCCGGAGCAAAGGCCCCCAATGTGGCAAGTGTTGAAGATGATACAGAAAATAAAGGCCAGTGTTGGCTCTGATGATACTGTTGATTCCACACCAGGATATTCATAGTGATTTATACGAAGTAATCTAATTATTAGGTGAAGTTGGATGAGCTTGTGGGGCAAACTGCAGACTGAACTATAGAACTGAAGAAAGTCGAACTGCAGATTAAAGACTATAACTCAAGAGACTTTGACATCCAAGGGGGTATGTATTTTTTGCAATGAAAACTCGATAAGGTCAGTAGTGGTTCAGATGTTGGAAGATATCAGACATTTTGATGAGAAAAGGATCGGTAATACCAGTACAGAAATGAAATGAAAGGTTACGCTGCCTTGATTGTCAAAAACATTAAACTCCCCCACCCACCCAAAAGAAAATGAAAGAAATGTTGGATAATTGAATGTATTAGTATCAAATTTTGATTTAGCTATTAATCTGTAAGATTGACCGATGAAAGCATCCTGTATCTGCATTTTTGTACTTCCCTGTGGGAATAACTGAATATGATCATGATATTCAGCACATTTGTCCATGAAACTTACATATAACTGGAGGTTTAATATATAGTTCGTGTTAAATTGTTACTCGTAGTACTCCATCTTTGTTAACAATAACTCGTGGAAAAAATTAAGTCGATATTCTCCATACTTGTATCAAATGATGAGCGCTGAATATGATGGTTGTCTAATGCTGATTTGAGTAATAGTGATAAAGGGTGTACGAGTACATTTTATTTCCATCATGCTTTCAAAATAGTCTCCAACCAAAATTAATCATAAAAATGAAAAGGAGTTCAGTCAATCGAATATCATGGGCAAATTTACAAAGCATGGAATATTAGATATTCGGTACAAAGAATATTGTTACGGACTAGTTTTGTTTTTGTCTAAAAAAAAAAAGAATATATTAAAAGGCACTAAGATAACAAGAACAAGTCCATTTGATCACGTGAAACAACCAATTAGCGTAATTTCCACGCGAAAGAGCTACTGGTACCCAAAAACAAAAAATAAATAAATAAAAGTTTTTTTTTTTTTTTCTTTTTGACGAAAAAATTAAGTAAAAGTCTACAGCTACTATCCACTAAAAAAATTAAATAAAGTGGAATATACTTAATTTATGGACCAACAATTACGTTGACCGGAAGAACTCATACAACTTCTTCTAAAAGTACTCCATACAATTTTATTATGGATTTTTATTATTATAATATTATTTTATCAGCTTGTGTGACTGGTCACACCGATCCCTAATTGAATAACTTCTGATCAATAATTCCGTTTAGCCAAGTATGTTTAGTGGAGTTGATGGGGAATTCACCTTGTGATTTAGAGGTCACAAATTCGAGCTTTTTTAGGGAGATAAAGTGTGAACGAGTTACAAGTATATTACGGAGTACATTAGGGTATATATGCATACATCATACCCTTATTTTATGCCACTAGGTCAAGACTTTATAGGTAACTAAAAATCAAGACTTTATGTGTCGTTAAGTATTGATCGTCTTTTTATTCCTACATGTGTTTATCTAATGTTAAGGACTATTTGTGTCTTTTTGAGCCCGAGTTAAGGTATGTCAAAGGTTGGAGCTAGTCTCTTCTAAGTAGCATAGCGAACTTATTCCATCTTCTGTAATCTTTACATTTGATTATTAAACATATGTAAAATAAAAAAAAAATAAAAAAAAAACACACCCACACAACCTATTTTATTAACCACATGGAACTCCACATAATAGATTAGAATAATGGTCAATTGTTCAATTTACAAGTATCAATTTAGTATGATATGGTAGCCCGCATTTTATCACTCCATATATCATAATGAAAAATTAAAAAAAAATGGTGACAGTTTTCGCTCTAAAATCTAGTCACAAACAACTAATTTTATTTTAAACTCTCCCGTAAGAATATCTTCAATGGTTGCATAAAAGAATCTGCTTGTAATTTCTAAATAATATATAGGTATATGCTAACCATTGTGGAGCTACATAGGTTGTAACTAAGTAATACCAAACTATATAGATCAGTCCCAATACACATATATTGGTTTGTTTAATATTTTTGTATTTATTTGTTTTTTTTAACAGTTTATTTATTACTCCATCCGTTTTTAAATACTTGCTTCATTTTTATTTTTTGCACTATTCATTTGTTCTACTTTGACTAATGTCTGTGATTTATACATAAGAAAAAATATAGTCTTGTAGGTACTTGTTGGAATCTATTTCAATGAATAGATTATTAATTTTCAGTCATTAGAATTTATACTTATTGGTAATTATAGATATTAGTGATCAAAGATCAGCATCGACATGCGTGTTCAAGAAAAATGGAGCAAGTATTTAAAAACGGAGGGAGTACAAAGGAGCTAGATTGCCATTGTAAAAGTTGTAGCTTAAATCATCATTTAGGTTGAAGATTAATCATATGACAACTCAAAACTACATGTAACTAGCCATTGTAGATGCTGAAGGCCTACTCACATTATTGATCTGAACTGAAATTAAGATGAGTGAACAAGCCCTAAATCAAATATAAAAGATAAGTTTCTCATTTATTAATGATATACTTATACTCTAATTAAAATAAAAATTACACTCCCTAGTTGATAAACCTTTTGGATTCTTATTAACCTTTTTAAATTCCTTCTTAAAAAAAATAAAAAAAAAAATAAATGGTGAAAACAAATCTGGACCGTACAAAACGTAGAGGTAAGCTAATTAAATAGGGTCGACCTTACAACTTCCAACAGAAGATTAAAAAAAAAAAAAAAAAAGTCGTGATTGTGCCTCCCTTTCTCTTTCCCTATTCTCGTTGTTGAGAGAAGAGAGAGAAAATTAAAATTAACAGTATTCACTATGTCTGGCGGCATTGCTCGTGGTCGTCTCGCTGAAGAACGAAAACAATGGCGGAAGAATCACCCCCATGTTTGTCTTCTTTCTGTTTACTTTCTATTTTTAATTTTCTTTTTTTTAGGGTTGATTTTTGTTTTTTTTTTTTTAAAATTTTGTGATGATGAATAATTTTAATTTTTTTGTAATTAGGGTTTTGTGGCGAAGCCAGACACTCAACCTGATGGTTCCATGAATTTGTTAATTTGGCAATGCATCATTCCTGGAAAAGCTGGGGTAAATCCCCTACGTCTTCCTGTTTTATTATTTTCTGCTTTTCATTATTTTTTGGTTTAAAATCAGTTGAATTGATTCCTCAATTTTATTATGTTTCATACTTTGTGAATTTCGAGGGAGATTTGTGTTTATTACTCCGTATATGGCATTTTTTGGATTTTTTTTTTTTGCTGTTTATTTGGCGATTGATATTTACTGTAGCGTATCATAACTTGTGATATAATTCATGATTTTTGTATATTGTTTGTTTGATTTTCTATGTAAGGAGTGAAATTGTGATGTTAATTGCGGAAAAGATGAGGTTAAAATTTGGATGGTCACCATATAAATCTCACCCCCTAATCACTGGAGGTTTTTCAATAGGCTTGTTTGATTTTAGATTTCATAGGATCACAGTTTAAGGGTGGTTGCAGCCCAATTTTCCGATATGTTTATCACCGCCGTTGATACAATTACCACCCCACTTCACTCAACCTTTGATCAATTCATTGTAAAGCTTGATGGCAGTTCTTTGAGTGGAGCTATGTGTGGAATTTCAGAGGTTAAAGGGAGACGAGTAGAACAGGTCTAACCTTAATTGTGGAAAAAAAAATTGTTTGGGTTTGGAAATGTATATTTAATTTCCTGTAATACCTTTGATGACCGTATCCTGATCTAAATATCGAATCATAGGATGTTGAGGACATTAGAGGAAATTAGGGGATAAAATTTGGAAGGATTGCTGTTCTTAAAGGAGGAGATGGTTACGAAGGATTTGAAATTAGAAGAAGGTGCTGGCATATTTGGTTTGTCATGTGAGAAAACGAAAAAAGTGACGGTGGATAAGTGGATGGTTGTTTTGGAGGAGAGAAAAATAGGTGGAAATAGTGTATGGTAAGTGATGGAGGGAAAATGAACCTAAAGAGATGATCTACCTTTGTAAACGATTTGTGTCTGGTTGTTTTCTGGCAAATAATAAGCTTCATCTTTGTTCTTGCTTCTTACTCCATATTAGTTATCAACTTATCATTGCCTTAAAATAAAACATTAGTACTTGGGTTTTCATATGTGAATAAATAATAAGGCTAATCCTGCAAGTAGCAAGAGTGAGGTGGTTTTTGCAACATCTTAAAGTGGACAGTCCAAGAAGTCAGGAGCTGGTGCAGTATTCTTTGTGTTCATATATACTCGCTCATCAGATATTTTGTCAAACACACAGTTCTTAAGGGATTTACTGGCTTGAATCTGTGAATTCATAGGAGCATAGTTCCTGAGTATAAAATCTTTGAAAATCTTATCCCTTGACTGAACAAACATGTTGAGTTAGTGACACCTGAAGGGCTTGTATCTTTGAATAATTGTATTTCATTTGTTCGAGAGAATCCAACTGTCAAGCAAGTTAGTCCTTTGAACCTTGCCAGAACCTCATTGAACCCGTTTCTGAAGGGATATTGGATCTTCAATCTTGTAGCCACCTGTGGATCATTGAAGCTGTCATCAATTAAGCTGTAGCTCCATTTTTTTATATTCACTGCCTAAACTCCTAATCCTGTTGGAATATGTATAATTTATTAAGGGTTTGCACCTGTTGATTTTATATTCACTGTCCTAATATTTAGGTTTGCACCTGTTGATTTTATGTTTCTGAAGGGATATTTGGTGTTTTACCATCCCTATGACTGGTCTTTCCTATGTTGGAGGAATACCTTCCAGGAGGTGTTATGTATTCTTTCAATATTTTTTTGTTGTGATTTAGTAAAATTGTAGCCTTGAATTGAATTTTATTCTCTTTCATCTTTAAATTCTTCGTAGTTTAAACAGGTTTTTTTTTATTAATTTTTTTTATTTTTTTATTTTTTATATGGTCGGTTTTTCCCCTTTTCTATTGGGTCAGTCTTCAACGAAAGCTTCTTCCATTAACAATTTTCCTGCATTTTTTATTATTCACTTTAAAACTTAATCCTTGGCTTGTGATTTGTGGTTTTCCGACCACGTGTTTGCTGTCTGTGAACTTCTCATTGGTTATTTATGTGTATATGAAGATTGCCGTACTTGTCTAGGAATAATTGATAAAGATTGAGATATGCCATTCTTGCTATTTTTGTCATGTACTGCCTTTTCTTATCATAGCTTTTTTATTACAGACTGATTGGGAGGGTGGCTACTATCCGTTGACTATGTATTTTTCTGAAGAGTACCCCAGCAAACCACCTAAGTGCAAGTTTCCTCCTGGTTTCTTCCACCCTAATGTTTACCCATCTGGGACAGTTTGCCTATCGATTCTGAATGAAGATTGCGTGAGTATTGATATTCTTGATTCTTTGTTTAGCTGATTATTTGATCTCTCTTAGTATATCTGGTTTTAATGTCGCATTGTCTCCCATATTAGGACTGGAGACCTGCAATTACAGTGAAGCAGATTCTGGTTGGCATTCAAGACTTGTTGGACCAGCCTAATGCTGCAGATCCTGCACAGACTGAAGGTTATCACCTTTTCATCCAGGTGTGTATATCATCTTCTTTGTGTGTCTTTAGACTTGAAAGGAAAGATTAAAATTTTTGGATGAAGTCGTCTGGTCTATGTTTATCATCAATGAAATCAAGTGAAAAAAGAGCTTTTGTTACTGCAGGACACAGCAGAGTACAAAAGAAGGGTTCGCCAGCAGGCTAAACAGTACCCAGCTACCATTTGACAATGGACTTCATACTGGTAGAGGATAGTTGGTAGTCGTATTGTAACTCGTAAGGAGTGGTAATTGCAATTCAAGAGCTGTCCTTTTCTAAGCATTATGTATAAGTTATGACTTATGTTCATATGTAGTGATCCTGGTAGTCCTTATTTATGAACGTCGTTTGGAATATTTTGTTTCCTTTTGGTCAAACTCTTAACACCTTTTACTACGGTGAATGCTGATGGTCTTTGTGTGGTTGCCGATTGGATTCGGGGATATCATGATATTCTGCGTTTAAATGTGATTAAACATGTTGGATCTGCTCTCATTTTAAAAGTGAAAGATATTCACTCTTTATAATTTTGTTGTATTTACATATATACCTTATTTTGTTACTCTCAAGTCACGTTTATATTTACAATTCAGTTCATCCTTTTAAGTGGATGTTCATATGAATGAAGTTCCTCCTTTTTCAGAGGTGAGGGCCTTTTAGGTGCTTTGGCCCATGCGCGGGAGTGCATCGATGAGTGCAGCAGTGGTGGAAAAAATGAAGTATTTTCATGCATGCAAGGTGATGGTAGATTCTATCATTCTATGCTTGTTTGATTTACTTATGAACCACCCCTTCTGCCTAGCAATGCTCTTTTCGTTTTTTCGTCTATGGCTTCATATACTCTCTCTCTCTCTCTCTCTATCTCTCTCTCTCTCTCTCTAAGTAGGGTTCCATCGTATACAATTAATTAGCTATTCCCATTCCGTTTATTTTGTACATATCACTGATTTAAAATTTGTAGTACTCGTAGTATGAATTTGAACAATTCAGTATTCACCTTTGATATGCTTGTACTAACTTTCATAAAAACAAATTTTTTTGTGTAGAATGTTGTTTTTTTTTTTTTTTTTTTGGAATGGTGTAGAATGTTGTTAGATTAGGCTAAATGTGTTTATTCAATTTATCTTCTTACTGCAATCATTACAAATGGAAAAATTTAAAAAAATTAATGGTTTAAGTTGTGTGTTGACAATGAAATACAAAGAGAATACTTGTTGGATCTTGAAATACAAAGAGAAGTATTAGGAAGCAAAATTGTCATAAGAATGTACTCCTCATATGTTGTAGTTTCTTTTTGATATATTGTTTTATTTGGTTTTCTATTTATTAAATACTTTCTCTGTTTTTTAAGTGCATTTGTTATAAATAATAAAATAATTTAAATGGGGTTTAAAATAAGAGAGATAAATAATAAAATATATATCCCATAATGTAAAATTACTAAATATAAGTGATGCATTTCATTAAAAACACCTATAAAAAGAGTGTGATACATTTAATTAAAAAAAAAAAAATCAGAGGAGAAGTACAAGTAATACTTATCTTTAATACGGAGTACAATACTATGGAGTTTTATTTTTTGGTCAAATCCTTCCCTCAATTCTTTGTTTTGGGCAAGGATTCTGTTTTCACACGATCGCACCATTTGTCCTCCCACTAGTTATATACTCGTACTTCGCAAGTCTTTACCACTTTGCAAGCTGAAAACTTGTTTTCTTGTCCTCAAAAATTAATATATTTTATGATAGAGACATGATAGAAACTTTCCTATATCTTAACTTGGAGAAGCTAGGCTGAGCTTCATACAAAAATTACTTTTTCTACTAATTAGTAGTCTTCTAACAGTTGAATTTAGAAAGAACACAACCAGTCTTTTCATTTTGGCATGTTTGGTAAATGGCTTTTTGGGGTTTTTATGAGGTCAAACAGCCAAAAAATGTGTTTGGTAATTAACTTTTTAGCCAGTAAAAAAGCTGGCTTTTAAGCCAAAATGAAAAAGCTGCTTTGAGTAGCTTTTTTGTTGGCTTTTGACTTGTTAGCCCACAAATTATCTAATAAACAACCAACTACCAATAATTAATTTACCAAACACTTTTATAAACATCCAGTTTTAACAGCCAATTTCAAAAGCCATTATAAACAGCCAAACATACCAGCTGGTCAAACAAGCCAACCGCCAACAGCCAATTGCCAAACAAGGCCTTTACCAATCTCATATCACTAACCCCATTTGAGTGATAATCTCTCACAAAACGACTACGAATGGGGGTGACGGAGGAAGTGATTAGACAGCAATTACACTGCCTTGGAACGTCTCGTTTTCAACTCATCGAGGAAGGCCAGTAAGTTAGCCTGAGACGAACCACCATTCTTGACAGCTCCTTTAGATGTTTCGCTAAGCTTCTTTGCTCGTTGCCTCATCTCCGCTGCGATCTCGCTACTGTCCATCACAGCTCGAACAGCCGTCTCCACTTTCTCTCTGCTTACAAACTCCTTTCCAGTGTCTTCTAGATTGCACCACTGAGTCACCCCTACAGCAACACCGATCTTCAGCACATCCACCACCAACCTCTCATTGTAGAATTGCTCGGCGAATTGCGGCCAAGTTATGATTGGTACACCAGCAATAGAAACCCCTTCTAGTAAAGTGTTCCACCCACAATGTGTTACCATCCCCCCAATAGCTTGGTGTTGTAATATCAACTTTTGTGGTGCCCAACCTTGTATGATCAACCCCTTGTTACTTGCTTCCATTTTCTTCCTGAACTCATCAACTGACCACTGCTCATCTTCATTACTCTCCTCTGTTTTCTCTGCTTTCTTTTGCTTAACAGCCCAAATGAAGTCATGGCCTGATGCTTCGAGCCCGGCCGCGATTTCATGAAGCTGTTCATCAGGAAATAAGGTCAGGCTACCAAAACTGATATACAACACTGACCTTGGTTTCTTTTGGTCTAGCCAATCGAGGCAAGTCTTCCAACAATCAAGCTCAGCCGAGGAAGCCTTGTCATCTTCCTTCTTATTGCAGAAGAAAAGCGGGCCAATGTTCAATACCTTGATCCCAGTGAGTTTGTTGTAGCATTCTTCATACTCTTTTTCTGCTTCACCAAAGGTGTTAGCCAACACCCAAGTGCTCTTGAGCTCGGCCTCTCGGATAACATTCATCAAGTAGGTAAATCTGTTTGGGATCCGAACCCATAAAGGGATTTGAGATTTCCTCATCTCTATTTTGTGAGGCAGTGAAGGCAGCGTCACGAAATCATCATCATTTTCAACTTGTTCATGTGGTGCATTGAACTTAACACAGAGACCACAGCACGAAGAGAAAATGCTGCTAGTCAACTGGAACACCCTTGGCACCCCGATTTCAGCAGCGAAATCTGAGGTCCAAGGGTAAAACATATCAGAAACAATGCAATCTAAAGGCAGTAAATCTCTGATCAAGTCTTGAGTTGCACTACCAAGCATGTGAATGCCGGTGAATATTTTGCTTCTCATATCATCAGAAGCGATCTTGCTGAAGTTTTCGATGCCGGGAGGGAGACCGACATCGGCTGCCGGAAAAGGAAGGGCATGGATTGTGATAGGCAGGTTGTTGTCTGAGGTTTGGAAAAGAGGAGCATTAGCAGGGGTGGTGATGATGATGCATTCAACACCATGAGAAGCTAAAGTTTTGGCAAGGTCTGCCATTGGAAGTATATGCCCTGGTGTTGGGAATGGAAGGAAGATGATTTTCAACTCCATTTTTTTTTTTTTTTTTTTCACAAATCACAATATCAAGGTTTTTGGATAACTTATTTTTTCTCTGTTTTTAAGGAGGGTTTAAGGTTTGGTGACTAGTAAAGTGTAAAGTGTTACGAGTATATATAAAAACTAGCCACCTATTTAGACCTTTCGTACTTATTTACAGGAAATACTCCTACTCGGTAATCGGTAGTATTTGTATTTTACACTAAATACAAAGCTTGGGCGAAGAAAACGAGTTCAAGTTTGCAACTTTTAGAGTTTTTTTATTTTGATTATTTTAACACAACTTCTTTAGCATTATCTCGACCGCTCGGCGGATTAATTACATGTCTTGTAGGGGTTCATAAATCCGGACTGAAAAAATGGACCGGACCACCCTGGACAGAATTAATCGGTCCGGTCTTCGGGTCTTGAAATTCATTTATCCGGTCCGGTTTAAAACCCTTTAAAAACCGGTTTTGAACCGGATTGATTTTTTTATTAAAAATATGTGTGAAACCTTAAATAATGGTTATCCTTAATAAGCTTAGAAAACTTTAAATTTATAAGCTTTTTTGCACTAAACATATAAAAAAAGACGTAAAAATGATGTTACAATATAGTTTTTCCAATACTTTTTTGTGCTTTCCTAAACTTTATAAAAAATTTAGTATTCTTTTTAAAAAAATTCTTAAATCGGTCCAAAGCGGTCCGGTCCGGGTTTTGGACCGATTCTTTCGATCTGGTCCAGGTTCGGTCCTAACTTAATCGGTCCGGTTTCCGGTTCTTAAAATTCTAATTTTCGGTCCGGTCCGGTTTTGGACCGATGAACAGCCCTACTTGTGATACTTGTGATTTTATGGGTGACTAGGGTACGTGTGTAATTGGAAAAAACAAAAAATTGAAGCCATCTGTATTGTATGTAGGAAGTATAGTAGTACATTTACTAGTTTAGGACCCGTGCCATGCACGGTCTATTAAAAAAAATTTAAAAATTGACAAAACATACACATAATATAAAGCGTAAACAAACAAACAATTGACGTAATATAATGTTGCAATGACCATTTTATTATTGTTAATAATAAAGTATTTGTCAAGAAAAAATCATTAAAGAAATAAAAAAAATACAAAAAAATAGAGATAAAGATTAATGTTTGAATTGCACATCATGTGTTATCATTTGCGTTGCCTTTTATTTCTATCATCTCCGGTAGTTGTTCTAGAAACTTGATCACTTATTATTTAATCGAGGAAGATAACAATTGAATGAGGTCGTCCTTCTACATACAATCACTGCATAAAAAGGGTAAGGATCAGTATATCTTATGTAAAATTAATAAAATAATGATAAAATATATGATTGAGAAATTTATTTAAAAATGATATGTCAAGATTATATAGAATATATTTATTCTTGCATTGTTTGTAAGTAATTGAACAGTTTTTGGGTGTCTCTATAGAAATGTTCAAATACTTTAGAATAAAATACACATCTATATCATATATGTATCAAGGGAATAAAAATATTCTAAATTAGTGAGACATAAATACTTTTACACTTCAAAAGATACCAAATAATTTCATGATCTATATGCACGCATCACGCATCACGCATCACTTTTAAGGGAATAAATATTCCTTGTTAAAGATAATAATGATATATGATTCTTTCAAAAAAAAAAATATAATTATGATATATAATAAAATCATAGTAAAAATATCTCCATGATATGATTATTGTATAATAAATTTTCCATATTTAAGTTGACCATGAAATAAGAGGAAGTAAATTTAAGAAATAAATAAAGTAAACTTTAAATTTACACAAAGATAAATTACGTACCTCATTATGCAAATTTTGAAACACCTCTTTGTATACTACATTGTGTGTAGTATGATATATTTTTCCTTCTTTGTCACATATCAAAACTTTTAGTCCACTCTTCTTTGTGACTCTTGAAACCCCAACATATAGTTGACCATGACTAAATACTGGTCTTGGGGAGATATAGGCCAACATGGGAAAGAGATTGACCTTGACTTTTGTTAATAGTCATTGCAAAACAGACAACTAATGGATATTGCCTTCGTTGAAATTTAAAAGGCAATTTTATGTCAGTTGGGGTTAAAAGCATGCGAGGAATAAATACCTTATGTCCAATGTTGTTTCCTGATATGATTTTAGCCTCAATTATATGGTTATCCAGTTGAGTAATCACTAATCTAGTGCCATTACATAGACCATTAGGTTGGTCAATATTTCTAAGTAACATAACTGGAACCCTAATCTTTAGTTTCAAGGTATGATTCGGAAGTCCTGAACATTTGATGGTATTTAAGAAATCCGATGTATACAACTCTTGATTACCCCTCACATTTCTATCTGATGCACAAATATTATCTGAGCTAAGATAAATTTTCTCTTCTCCGGGAATAATAGACAATAGATGCTCATTAACCACCTCTACACACTCATTTGTTGGCACAAGAATAGCTCTCTTTTGAAAGTATTTTGCGTCATCCAAATTATGTGATATGAATGGATACACACTTTCAACAATAGATGCAACCGGACTATTAACTTCATCTTTAATCAATAACTCATCAGGAATTTTTATAATTGCCTCCCCATCATTAGGTTCTCCTTCTTTACCATCTCCAATCCACTCTGAAAATTCTTTAATCTCATTTAAATTCAAATGTGAACTTCCCACTTGTAGTCTCATATTTTGAGTTAATGATAGTACACGACAATAATCCCATATGTATGAAGAGTTGATAGATGAAAATACAATATCTTGTCGACTTCCTTTGGGAATAACCGGTAAAATTTGTCGAAAGTCTCCACCAAAAACAACTACCTTGCCACCAAATGGTTGGTCCATGCTTTTTGGATTATAGAACCTCATAATATCCCTCGGACTTCTATCTAGGGCTTCAAAACAAAATCGATGAACCATTGGAGCTTCATCCCAAATAATAAGTTTTGTCTTGATTAAAAGATCGGCCAACGGGGATCTCTGTTTAATTTCACAAGTTGTATTTTCAGTTACATTTATTGGAATAGCAAATCTAGAATGAGCAGTTCTACCTCCTGGAAGAAGAAGAGATGCAATTCCACTTGATGCAACATTAAGTACAATTTCACCCTGAGATCGTATAGCAGCCGAAAGTGTTTTCCACATGAAGGTTTTTCCTGTGCCACCATAGCCGTAAAGAAAGAAAACACCTCCTTCATCTCTAGCAAGAGCGTTCATTATTTCATCATATACCCCTTTTTGCTCATCAGTTAGACATGAAGATAGTCTTTTATGCTCTAAATCCATGGACGTTCTATCGTAACAAAGTTCTCCTTGAATAAGCTTATTTAGCCCATGAGAAACCAAATCATGATCTGGTAATGGCATCGGAGGAAATTGTGAAAGACTACGACCATTACTTTGCAATAAATTCTCTATAAGTGCCAAAGTGTGGTCCTTTAATTGCTCTTCACTTAACATCAAGTCTAACAAAAGTAATTTATAATATTAGCACAAAAATGGTTGACTTTATTTGCATGCATAATATAATTGAAGTTTTACAAAGTAAACATATTTGCTTACACGAAACTTTTATTACAGTAGCCTAGTGATGCTATAATATCTTTTTTAGAATGGTCATGATCTTGGTGAAATATTTATAACGATTATAATCTTGATTACACATTGACTGATTGACAATAGCTATTAATACAGATTTATCTTCTCTTTAAGAAACCACTATATTTTTTTAATCCTATGGTTTTTTAAGAAATGAATTGTAAACATGTTTTACATATCTTCTCATAATAAATTCTAATATTTTACATATTTCCCTATAATGAATTCTTATCTTACGGTTTCAAATAAATTAGTTTATATTTTTATATTACATTGATATAGATTATCTTATAAGTTTGAAACATATGAAGTAATGAAAATAACCGTGCATGGCACGGTATCTAACCTAGTTAAGAGAATATATATTAAAACACGGTTATTAGACTATTGAAATAAGCAAAATTTAATAACATTATTTAACAAAACCAAACAACTTAAAAATATATATTGGACTAATGTCGTACCAGTAATTTGAAGAATACTTCTTTGTCTGAAAAGTACATCATCTGCAAGGAATTTCCATATTTTCTCGTACACAAATTCGGATCTTGACATACTTCCTGATATTAATAAAGTCACAAATAGGGTTCTTAAATATTGTGCTGATCCCCAAAAGCTTGCTTCAGTTATACCATCAATGTATTCTTTGTCATCCTCTAGTAGTCCAAGAGCATAGCAAGCTTCTTTGAATGTTGAGTACAATACACCATTGACAGTTCTAATATCTTTATAACATGTTGGACCTTTAACTATATTCAACAAAGAACTGAGGTAGTATAGCTCTCCACTATCGGGAGGAACATAATAAATTCTTCCAATAGAATATCTTTGATCTCTTTCCCTCCATTCCTTCCTTCCCTTTTTGTGCCACACAAATTCTGTAGGGAACTCACAATAAGTTAAATTTCTTGCTTTCTGAGACTTTTTATTGCAATCCATCCATTTTAAAAACATTGAACTATTGATCCCGGACTTGTTCATGACGTCTTCAAGTGGCTCGTCATCCTCAAATACAATACTTTGTTCATCAGGGAGATGAAAACTCAATCTTTCAACTGATGGAGTTCTATAATGAATATCATAACCTAGAATTCTCCAAACCGCCTCACATGGAGAAATGTACCTGTTTTTATTTTTCCCATTTATTTAGTGATTATAATTATAGTGAAAGTAAAATACTAAAATAGATATAAAATTGGAAAAAAAAAATAAAGAAATAAATATCAAGTATGAATTATAAGTACAAAAGCCTTGTAATAAATTATAGTGAATTTACCTGCAATCATAGTATGCTTTTATCTCATCTTTGTCATTATTATTTCCATCGTCTCCTCTTGTATGACTTAGAGATGCGGTTACTCGATCATGTCCTTTGCTAATATATTTAAACAAATATTTAATAGCACGGGATTGATTGCACCACTCAACATTTATATGAGCTCCATATTTCATGAGTAGTGAAGGATTATAAGGGACGACATACCGATTATCCAACAAAACTCCATTCTTTTCAACTGTTCTACCATTATTCCTTCTTCTATACATAGGATATCCTTGATCATCCACTGTGGTTCTATCAATGAATTTTTTGGGAAAATGTTTTGAGCACTTTCCATCTTTCATACATGGTGAGCGGATATTATGTGCACCACATGGACCATGAAACATAGAGTCTCTAACTAAGATATATAAATCTAGGTATGTTTCCTGATCAGGTATTTCTGCAGATATAACCTTATCAATGATCGGCATTAGGAAACTTGTCTTCTTGGCGCAAAAACAATACGATATGAGCATGAGGTGGACCACGTTTCTGAAATTCAATTGTGTAGACCACTGCACATGTAATGAACTTCATTATCAATTTAATTATTAAACTAATTAATATACCTTAAAGTTAAGATAAGTGAAATGTATAACATTATATAATTATAATATTAATTGAAGTATATATTCTTATAGTGGTTTGGGTTGGTATACATAATGGTGTCATATAAGCGTGATCATTATAATATATACTATAAAAAATATTATTCATCATTTTATCTACTTATATATAGTAATTTAATACTAAAA